ACAATCGTATGTCGGGGCACTGAAACCCACTCTTAGCCAAGTAGTGCTCCACTAAATCATCAGGAATCTGATAGAAATAAAAAACCCAGAACTCAATCAATATCCAGGGTTCAATAATTGGAGAGACGGAAAATGTTCTAAACAATAGAAACGGAAGTTTACAGTAGGAGTATAATCCATCAGAGAAGCAAGGAACTCTRTAAGAGCAGCATCRTCTTCATGCTTTGYCTCGCCCGATTGTTGGCCGTGATTCATCTCTCTCTCTCTCAGTCTTTTGCCTCTCTGGATTCTAGGGTTTCACGAATTATATGAGCTCAACTTTCATGCTCCTCAGTTAAGAAAATAACAATAAAAGGACTCGAAAACACAAACTCGCAAACATAAAAGGACCCAAAATAACAATTGTAAGAGTAAACTAATCAAAGCTTAAAACTTTAATAGCATTGACATATTTACATCTAAAAGAGGATCCAGGGAGTTATAGTGAAGACAATTTTTCAGAGAGTAACACTATCTATAGCAAAAGGCTTAGAAACTAAGGGCTTATAGCGAAGAGTTATAGTGAAGGTTTTGGCCAACACCTTTTAAGTAAAGATGATGGTTCTTGAGAGATGAGTTTGTTGTTATCTTCTTTTCATTTGGTGAATTCCAATAAATTTTCTTTCATTGTCTGTTGAAAAAATCTTATTCGGTAATATGCGCGTCACCTGAATAAACAAATCGTCCACTAATCACCAATTCAATATCATTACTCTCAATAATCCTACACTATGAATCAGACAAACAACGATGCTAGCAGGAGAAACTAAGTGAAATCTATGAAACTATCTCATCGCAGCTCTCGGTTCTTTACAGACTAATGAAAACAAAATTCTCCGAGTGTTAGAGAGAGAAAAARCTTACCTTGTTCAACAATGGATGAGAAGAGAACGAAACGYTAAGGTTTTTGGACGATGATGCTCTTCTCTGGAAGCTGACAGTGGAAACAAGCAGGACATTCACGGCGCTACAAAACTTCTTTATAGATTAGGGTTTACATCGGGACGCTTATGACAATTGACATAATTACCCTCAGCGCTTTGATTCCTCGCTACGTCGTCGTTTTGGTCGTTCCGTGAGTGATAACAGTA